AAATTTGTAACGGGTGGTCCATATTTGCGCTACGAAGTTTGCGGTCGACAGCTCGTTTATGATAATTATGTGAATGATATAAACAATGTTGTTTTTGACCGACTTCCCAAAAGAAGGAGGTACTCAATTCGTCTGTATGTTTTTTTTTACATTTGTCGTTGTTAATACTGGTCTGAGTTTACTACGATAGTTGGCAGATATAAATATTACTGTGCCAAAAGAAAATCAGTAGTATCTCTGACTTTTTTTTTTTATAACACAAGGTGGCAAACACTTTAAGGAGAGTCTATTTGTAATTCATCCAGATGCTATAACGAATAAGCTAATATAAAATTGTAAATATATTTTGTGTATTTCATGGTAAAATTTTGACCGACTTCCCAATAGAAAGAAGTATGTTATGTAATTCGTCTGTATGTTTTTTTATGTGTGTTACGGCATAACTCCTCCGCTAGTGGACCGATTTTGATAATTCTTTTTTTATCCGAAAGGTAATGCTTGCAGTTGGGTCCCATTTATTGTTTGATGTTTAATATCCCTATTTGAATTTTGATCAGACTATTCGAAATAAGTTAGTATGTAGTTCGAAATAAAAGTGTACCATAAATAATTTCAACGTTATTCGCGTGACTGGACAAAGTACACGTAATCACGCGACATAGATTTTATTGCGTATCGGAATTACCTCATGTAGGTTGAACTACTGCTATCTATGTTTACTAGAAATATGCAGAGCCGCGAAAATTTGTGTTCCACAGAAAATGGTCTTGTTCATTGCAATCAGACTAACTCCAACTCTTCCTACAAATAACTAACTAATTAGATACCAGTGAGTGGTGCCAACGAAGGGATAGTAGTACATAGAAGTAAAAAGACCTAGCTGGGTATCACAAACCGACCTTTTTAATACAGTAAATTTTACGTTGTATCCATTTTTGTTTTGCGTCTCGCTTTAAAATGTTTAAACAATTGTAGCTTTTAAGGTGGAACACCGCCAGTTTCCCCGAATGACAGTAACCTTATCCTACTCTTGTGTTGTCAGCGCACCGAGTTTTCGTCCTCCAAATGACTCTGTCATCCGTCATCTCAGTCATCACTCCCTTGATCATGTCACCTTTCACGTAATCCATTCATCTCTTTCTAGGTCTACCTCTACCGGCGTACCCCTCTATATTCGTAACTAACGCCTTCCCCGACTGTACATGAATAAAAATTAACAATATATTCACGGTCAAATATAATTTAGCAACGTGGTAATGCGGCATAATCTTCATAAACTGTACAGCGTCATAAAAAAATAAGTATAACATTAAAATAAGATTAGCTAGCTCGTTACCTTAAAACCGAATATGACAACTTTGACCCAGTTTCGGGAACTCGAACGTAACTTAATAAATGTACATTAGAAGTTTCAATGTTACTATACTTGACATTTTCTTAAAGCATCTTAAACATATTTTAAAAATACTATTATTATTAATGTTCGGTTCTCTGAAAGAGGCGTCAGTATAAGAAACTTTTCAGTATTGATAATGCAATTTTAAGCCCAAGAAATATTCTTTTGTATAAAGTAACTTACTTTAACAAAATTAAAGCGTTTAATGCTTTAATAAAAAAGAAAGTAACACATAAATATGATGAATTAAAACTGCTACGATGTTAACTTTTACAAAGTAATTCTGCAAACATCGGATGTAATTACATTATTAGCAAACACGAAGGGACTTAAATACTGTGTAGCTCAAGCTAGTTGTGGATATTTTTTTTTAAACATAACGGTGGCAACCGAGCAAACGGCCACCTGAATCCACCGAAATGGAAAGCCACCTATGCCCATAAGCATCCGCAATTGCAGATGAGTTGCCTACCCTTAATTGACGGAGGAGGAGATGCACATAAAGAGGACATATTCCCTTTCTATGCGTCTCCTCCACCGTAAAATCCACTTTCCGTTCCCATCAAATATTAAACTATCCCTCGTTGCTAGTTATTATTTAAAAAATAATACAATGTAAATAAAATAACATCGATAGCTTTTGTAGGTACAATTTGGAACATAGCGTGAGAACTTATAAAAAAAATAACCAATGTAATTTAAGCGGGCCACCAGAGTTCATTAACCTTACATACGATATACAAAAACTATAATGAAACTACGAGGCCGTTTGTTCAAAGTATCCTGCTAAACGGCCGGAATAGGCGAACCTTTTTCAAACACAGACTTTTTTTTGTTACTTTCTGTGTAAAAAGGTAAAATCTTTTCTGTAAGCCGACTATTGTAAGAAAACGTCTAATTTAAATAATACAATGCATATCATCAAGTGTGTACTAGAGAATTTCGCTATTAAAAACTTTTCAAAAACATAATCTATTGTTCAAATAGAAGTGTTGTACATTTTTATGGAAACTCACAGTTACTGCAATCCCTGCAAAGTATACATCGAAGGGTAATCTAAAATATATTAATTTAACAATCGATAAAATGATTTCTCTTGTTACAAAGTAGGGTAGAAAAATAGACTGAGTTTTTTTTAGAAATATGTTAAACATTCTTTAGCTTTAGGGATAAAGGTTATCCTATTTTAGATTCAGATCGCATGTGACACTGAAGGCTACATCTGTGCTCGGCGAGAGAAAAATAGCAAACCTTGCAAACCTTGCAAACCTTGCAAGCCTTTACTATATGTAATATACTGTTTCTTTTCATATATTAAACCCTGATATATTAGGAGGATTTTATGGGCAGAGCTTAAATTGTATAATCTAAAAAAGTATTTGGTGAAATAGACCAAATTAACCCACATTTTACTGTACAGTCAAAAAATTTTGTAAATTAATTTTGAGTAAAAAAAAGTGTTTTTATTAGCTAAAAAAAATATATATTAAAACATTTAAATTCAACAACGATAAAATACGTTAACATGAGGGTAGTTTTAGTTTATGTAGACATTGTAACAAACGAACTTTGTTCTCGGTTTTCAGCCGGCACGCGCTACGAGAAGGCTACGAGCAAAGAGCCGCTACGGCACGGCCGTTACGT